ATCTTTTTCTGACCACGCATCCTGTCCCTTACAGCACTGCTGTCCTGTCCCCCCTGGGTAACTCAGACCACGGTGTTGTGGAGGTTAGGTTTCGGTCAGTACCCGCTGTGGCAGCAGAAACTCGTACAGGCCGCAAAACTTGGCATTACGGACATGGCGACTGGGAGGGACTTAGAGACTCCTTCTCTAGCTTTCCTTGGAGAGATATCTGTTTCACTGACGCGGATGCGTCGGGTGTCTGTTCTTCGATAACCGAAATTATCCACGTCGAAATGGAGGAATTCATCCCTCACACAGTGAAAGTGCCTAAACCGGGGTCCAACGGCTGGTTTAACAACTTGTGTGATACTGCTCACCAGCAGAAGATCAAGGCACACAGAACCTTCTTACAAAACCCCACTGTAGAGAACAGACAAGCCGACGTCGAGTTTTGAAACAAATATAACGAAGATGTTCGCAATGCCAAAAATCAGCGCGATATAAAAGTTAGGCATAGGGTAATGTCGCATCGCAACGGCAGTCGGTCTTTCTGGACGCTGGCCAAGCAGATTGAAAAGAACTTCTCACACAGTAGCCTTCCACCACTTACATGTCAGGATGGAACTATTGTATTCGACTCAAAGGCCAAGGCGGAAGTGCTAGCCAAGATCTTTGTTGCCAACTCCACCATGGACGTCGCCCCCAACGCCCAAGTGCCGTCAATTCAAAGGGTTCCCTACACTATGCGGGAGGTAACATTCAGGCATAAGACCGTAAGACGAGTGCTCTTGTCGCTCAACATCAACAAAGCTTCTGGTCCGGACTTGATTCCTGCCATTGTACTGAAGAGGTGTGCAGCGGAACTTGCTCCAGTTCTTTCGCGTCTCTTCCATATATCTTTTGAATCCGGCACCTTCCCAGAAAACTGGAAATTTGCTCATGTCCAACCCATCCCAAAAAAAGGATCTAAGACCGACACTTACAACTACAGGCCTATAGCTCTGCCTTCTGTTATAAGTAAGGTGATGGAGAGGTGCATAAATCGCGAGCTTCTGCACTACCTTGAAAGTCACAGCTTGATTAGCGACAGGCAGTATGGTTTCCGGCACCGACAATCCACAGGGGACCTCCTACGTCAAGCAATTGTGGAGTAAACTCATCCAGTCTTATGGTGAGGCTCATGTCGTTGCTCTTGACATCACGAAAGCGTTCGATCAGCTGTGGCACGCTGCCCTCTTTAAGCAAACTTCCATCCTATGGCCTTCCAGAAAAGGTTTGCAGATCTCTGGCCGCAAGATATCCGTCGTAATTGACGGGTTCTCCTCTTCATCCCTCAACGTCATCGCGGGTGTTCCTCAGGAATCGGTCTTGGAGCCAACACTGTTTCTCTTACACATCAACGACCTCTTTTCCTGCTCGATCAACCCAATCTACAGCTTCGCTGATGACAGCACTCTACATGCAGGAATTCAGAGTGACAAGCCGATCTCTGCAGCTGAGCTGGAAAGAAGAAGACTAGCGACGACTTCCTCTCTGACAAGAGACCTGGAGGCTATCACTGCTTGAGGACGCAACAACCTTGTACAGTTCAATGCTTCCAAAACACAATACTGTACTTTGACGAACAAAAAGCGTCCTGGCGCTCATCCGGTTCTGCCAAAGAGCCATTCCTTTCGGCTGGTCGGAGTCCAGATCACCGAGGACCTGAGCTGGCACGAACACATCTCGTCAATTGCAGCAGCTGCTGGGAAAAAGCTAGGCTATTTGTTTAGGGCTAAGAAGTACTTTTCTCCGCAGGACCTTCTCACTCTATACGAGGCCCAGATAAGGCCTAGCCTCGAGTATACAGAGTAATACATTGTCCATGCTCGATGCTGTCCAGAGGAGGGCGGTCCGACTGACCGATGACTATTCTCTAACAGACAGTCTCGGGACCCTTTCGCACCGGCGGGCCGTTGGCGATCTAGCTCTTTTCTACCGCTACACCAACGGGCTTTGCTCCTCAGAGATCTCTTCCATGATGCCGCCGCGCGATGTGCCTGCCAGGCAGACCCACCTGACTTTGGCGTCCCATCCTAACCGTGTCGAACTCCGTACATCCAGAACTGGCCGATACGACTGCTGCTTTGTCCCGAGGGTGTCGAGATTGTGGAACCATCTACAAGAGGAAGCTTTTCCCAATTCTTCTAACCTTAGGCAGTTCAAAAATCGTATTAACAAAATTTCTCATCATAGCAGCCGCGGTGTTCCGGCAATTAGGCTTCTGCCTGCGCGGCTGCTGATATGTGGCCCCTGAGGAGTAAGCTACGCAACTGGCCGAAACGTTGTACATGACAGAAAATGAAACATGTATGTGACCAGACAATGGAGGCCTGGAGTTACATTAGAAGTATGAAGAGTCTTCAGAACTTTTAAGTACTCATCCAGAGTGATTCAGAAATTCGTATAAAAATTTCTGGGGTAGAAAGCATGATCAAAAACAATACGAAAATTTCTTAAGAACATGGGTCCTAAAATGCCCCGACAGCAAGGTATAGGGTATTGAAGTCTTAATTTCTAAGCTGAAAAAATATTACATAGATATTCGGAGTGTGCTAAGATGTTGACTTAAAAAAATTCTCGTGCCTGAGCCCCACAGAAGAAAAATGACAGTTATTTTATGCGCCACTGACTTTTCTGAAACATCCATTGCATTTTTGAATGGGGTATTCAATTTTACGTAAACCGCCTCTCAGAAAAAAAGGGACTGAAAAAATAACTATACATGCTGTTGTTACAGAATGTTGTCAAATATTGAAGTGCAGATTCAAGGTGCAAAATATGGAAAAAAATCTTATAAACATGATGATGATGTTTAAAATTTTTGATAGTTTACATTATATTCCTCGAAAATAGGATAATATATTAAAATATATTTTGGTAAAAGTAAAAAAGGTATTATCAAAGGTAAAAAATTGTTTGTAGTTGAGTAATTTCAGAATAAAAATTACTACATCAACGAGTACATCAAACTGTTTATTGTTATTTTCAATCACGTTGCAATCGATCGATTTTTTTTAACAAACACAACAAAAAACTTGAATACACACCTTTCAAGCAGTGGGTATCAGTATGGCTTTGAGAAAACAACACATATTTTTGCAAAAACATGGAAACTGTAGGGAAGACAAAGAATTCCTGTTTTTAATATTTTTGCGTACAAAACCTGGCCTCCTTTTGAAATTATGTAAAATACCCAGTATTCTGCCAGGAAAATCAATTTCATTACCGAAAGTATGTATATACATTTTCTACTTTTCCTTTGTTTTAAAATAAAGTTGATATTTTGAGATTATTTAATGACCACCAACATTAGTTGAGATGCATCCCAAAATTCTTATAAGCAATAGAAATGAAAAATTGCCTGGCCAACAGAACCACATGTATTGACAGATCTTCTTTACTGTACTCAAACTAAGTACTGAAGAACTGAGCAAGATCACCTTTGTGATTGGAACGTTTACTACAGTAAAGAAAATCTGTCAATACATGTGGTTTTATTGGCCAGACATGTATGGGGGATTATCGATATGTAAACCACAGGATAAGTTTTAGATGTTACATTGAAAAATTGTTATTACAGGGTACCTAACAATTTTTCAATTGTTTAAGAAGGAATCAGACAGAGACAGAAGATTGAAATGAAACAGCAGAAAGCGACCTGTGAGGGTATTAACCTGCTGGAAAGTTACTAATATACCAATACTGTTCAACACATCGAGGTACTGACTATAAGTAATTTAATGTCTATGTATTGTTAGTTTCCATATGTGTCGAAAACAACTTGACCTATTTTTTGAAACATCATCACCTTTCAGAGTTTCCTTTTTACGGTTTCGTCTGACCTTCCATCTATAGGTCTTTCTCTTTTGATTTATATGGATACGAAGTTTATCGGTTTCTATTTACAGACTATTCAACAACTTAGCAACTAAACTAGGCTCCAACCAGCAATACCACATAAAATACTTGGGCTCTTATCACGATTTTTAAATGCTACGAATCAGAACAAGTATCGCTCCATTATCCAGTTTCAAATATTTTATAAAGGAAATAGCGAAACTAGATATTACATCTGATACGCAGAAACTATGAACGTCTATAAGAATTTTAGGTAATAGAGACAACCTACCACCATTTTCGAATCAAGCTTTATAAAATTTTGTTACAACTGACTTTGTCACTCAATAAGTACCACGACAAACTTAAGAAGAAGGTAGGCTTTGGATTGACCTCCCAAATAACAAAAACTTACCTATATAAAAGTGTCGCCGTTTTTGAGATATTGCATTTTTTCTTAAATTTAAAAAAAAAACTAACCTTTTCATCTGTGGTCTTTATCTGCTTGCACAAATAAGGTTATACTTTGTTCATTTTTTCTATAAAATACTTCTAGATAGTTGCTTCATCATATACAAATGCAATGTAGTTAAAAGATATTAAGGAACCATGATTTTGGGATTTATAATCTTCTGATATTTTTTCCTCAACTTTGACCATCTGTGGTGAAACAAAAATGTACTGGGCTATAACTGCATTATATTGAATAAAAAGATTGCTCATTGAATACAGATTTCAGAAAGGCACCACACATTCTATTTGGAATAGAAAAAAGTGATAGCTGCTATTGTAAGTTACTGACACACACTACAATGTAATTATTGGATTTAAATTCAAGTTGCACTGGTTACCGATCAGTGACATGCTAAATAGTACAAAGCTACATTATTATTACCTGCTCCTGATATGATTTTATGAAAGCTGAAAAAACTATATCAGAGGGTTATAAATGCCAAAACAGTCCTTATTTTATCATGGTTCCTTAATATCTTTTAACTACATTGCATTTGTATATGATAAAGCAACTACCCAGAAGTATTTTATAGAAAAAATGAACAAAGTATTATTTGTAGATGCAACTAAAGACCACAAATGAAAAGGTTTCGTTTTTCTAAATTTTAGAAAAAAATCAATATCTCAAAAACGGTGAAACTTTTGTAATGGTAAGTTTTTGTAATTTGGGAGATCAGTTCAAAGCCTATATTCTCCTTAAGTTTGTTGTGGTATTAATTGGACACCTTGTATAACTAGCAACTTTGGTGACCGGAAGTTTGAACAAATCAGGTTTTATGACTCTTTGTCGACCGTGTGCTTGTAGAGGTGACTTTGATGGTAAATGAAGGTAGGTTGTCTGAAAATAGTGCGAATACTACAGAAGTATACATGAATATCACTAGGCATTTAAGTACATACATAAATTCTTGGTAACCTGGCTCAAACTAATGCGACTTTCCGTCGCATAGTGCACGAAAATTGTTCCCTGCTTTCAGTAGATGTCTTACACAGGTATGCAGTTTCATTTACACAGAAATGCAGTTTCATCTGAAACAAGCGAAATCAAAGATAGATTACAACTACAATAAAAATATTTCCTTATGAGAATGGTTGAAGGATGACTTACTTTTTCAATAGTAATGTTCGAGCATCACTTTTCCAATAGTTTTGACACCCTGTTGTGAAATCCTACAATGCGTATGCGTTGTCAAAAGACTAGTTTCGAATGTGTTCAAAATTAGTTCTGCTAGAACACATTTTCTATCAAAATACGTTTGAGTTGATAGTGACATCATCGTAATTGACTTTCAGATGAAATTCTGTCTCTTTCCTCATTGTTAGGCTATCGAATCACAGTTCTAGATATACTAAGTTCATACACTTGATTTGACGGCTTATTCTGTAGAAAAGGATAAATAACTGATCACATGAACATGAATGATGAAAACACTGAGGTTTTGCTCGTAAGCAGAAAATTTCTCATTGTCCCCGGTCGTCCATTTGAAGAACATGCTGTGTTCGTATTTAATTAAGTTATCTTCAGCCACTTTGAGAGTCACTCAGAAATGTTCCTTGAATTCACTTCCATTGTAAAGAGGTACCGATACATTTATGTAATGCTCATTTATTGGTTTTCTGCGATTATGAAACAGTATCTGCAGAATGTATTTAGCATAACTTGAACCGATATCTGAGACCCAATCGGATTCTGAACTAGAGCTGCAAGTATCTGAAATTTCTGAGAGCAATACAAAATTTTGTAAAAACGGTTTTCTGGATTCAATTTTTTCAATTGATACAAACTAAAACTAAGAAAGACACAAACTCACCAACACAATTCAAAGACCTTAACTCCATATCATAAGGCACCACACCACAAAACAAGATATGTGCGAACTGCGCATGTCAGATTGTGAGAAACTCTGAATCCCGCCAAAATCCCGTGTACTGTTTCGACAGCCTTTCAACCCAAAAATTGGATTGCTGAAACAGCGGACCGATAATCAATAAGTAGGTTTCACCCTTGCTTGAACGCGTTTTCTACACTGCGCATGCTCATTCGGTTTGAAACCGTTGGAAATGTGATACTAGAACATCAGTAATACAAAACTTCTAGGGCAGAAAGTAAAAAAACACGAAAATTCATACTACCTTCTTGCAAAAATTTGGGGTGCAGTGAATGTCTATGCCAGGAGCATTTAATTTTTTTGTGAAAAATTACGACTCGATCAAGCTTTTTTGGAAAAAGCTGTGAACTGACAAAAATGTCTTCGAAGAAATAATACACATACTAAATTGTCGAAAAATGAAAAATTCATGGGCCCAGCATAAAATGTTCTAAAGTTCTGGTAATTTTGTTTAAACATTCAAAGAATGTTGCTTATCATAGGCCTGCCCAAACTTCACGAAATTACTCTAAAAGAAAAAGCCATATACAAGTATTCACATGTGCACGGAAATGCTCCATATTGAAAGTACACAGTCAAACGTCTTTTTTGAAAATCCGTTTTTTCATCGTAATAACCCTTTCTGGTTAAAATTTGTTAAAATTAGGTACATGATGAGAAGGTATATTAAATCTAAAATTAAAAAGGCATCAACAAAGTCAAGTCCATACAGTTTGTGGTTTGAAAAAACCGCTCTTCTTACGTGATTTTTGCTATATTTTCGGCGATATGAATGTGCCAGCTGAATTTTACAAATTAAGAAAAAATCGGTTGTAGGATTACAAATAAAAACAACGGATTTTCAGAAAAGTTTTTTCACAGCGAATAAGCAAGCTTTTTTGAATTGTTTGCTTTGTATATATTTGGTCCGTCATAAACTTTGCCTCGAAAAGTTTCTATTACAATAATTCAAATAGCAAAAGTGATTAAATAATATCAAAATCATTAACGTTTCAGGCGCAACGCGGATAAAAATGAACGTTATTTTTTTAAATACTACCAAGACAGGTGGAAATAGAACTTTTGTGTGCTTTAGCAGTGTCTTACCTAAAGCTATGGTCGGATTATAATCAAAATGATGTAATATTGTAATGAGAGAAACAAAATTATCATTATCGGAGAAAAAAATTACTTAGCAATTTGGATGGGCATTGGGTATTGAGCTACGCAAAATAATAAAAATGTTTTTTCGTTTTTATTGGCGAACATTTTCTACATAGATAAGTCCAGCTGAAATCAGCAACCCCTTGAACCGAGAATAAAGTTTAATTATTCAGATATTTTGCTTTGTACTAGTCGCATACGGATACATATATGGACCTGCCCCTAAGGTGGGAGGCTACGAGTAAAAAGTCCAATGAGGGTGACTGGTCAGTTAATAGGTTGGTGTGGTGTTTTCTTAAGGAAAAATAATTTTGTGCGCGATACATCTCGTCAAGAACATCTTACCAAGGAATAGCATATCCAGGGCTGAGGGGGGCAATTGGGGAATTATTTTAGGATAAAATCGACTTAATATTGTTGGTAGGCAATACAGTATATTTTCAGATTTTTTTACCTAAAAATAATTAGAGCCAAATACCGCCTTCGGGTGCAAAGACCAAAGAAGCATTTTTTTGCGTTGCTCATGGCACAGGAAGTTAATGCAAGATTCTACAGTTATGAAAATATAGTGAGGCGATTCCGTGAACGGCAATAAGTAGTAAGTATAAAGCTACATTTCGGCATTCTCGTACTTATTTTTTCCTAAGAACCTTGGTGCCGTGAGTGAAGAATAAGGTAAGCGCTCCCATCAAGGTATTACGGTTACGGAGAGTAGATACCAGGGAAGGTGGAATACAAACCCTACTGGTGAATGTGGAGGAGAGGAAAAACAAATATGAGAAACAAATTGAACAGGCAAGAAGTTATTTTGAGTCAGCCTCTTTTTGACCACTTCTGTTGGTCTTTTATATGAAAATTTAGTTTCCCATTAATTAATTGTTAAATAGTTATAAGATATTAACTCCTTAAAAGATAAATCCCGACATTCTATAAAAGAAACAAAGCTATATATCAATTTCAGATTATATTGGTATTTAAAAAATAACGTAACTATTGTGTTATTAACTGTGACTTACCGCTCACTCCTGCTATAATTGCGTGTTCCAATCTCCCTCCATTCTCCACATACTGAACGCCCTGGACAACTTCTCATGCGCCGTATACGAACAAACATTTCCCAGCACATCTCCATCACCAGGTAACTCAGGAGTCGACGTCGACAACACCTGGTACAAGAAGTCTATATACCTAGCTGCCAACTTCAGAGTTTGAATTTTAGATAGCTTATCCGACGGTAACGTTGGTATACTCTTTCTTAAGCTTGCGAATGCTTCGTTCAAACTTTGCGTCCTTTGTCTTTCTCTGACATTTGCCATTACTCGTTGTGTTTGAAGGTCCTCGTAACTTTGTGCAGCTTTTCTTCTGGACTTGGATTTGCTGTAGGAGTTTTCTACGTCACCGTCTGTATTCTTTCTTTTCCTGCTATTGGTCCGCGTCTTCAACATCGGTGGGTCTTCAACAGGTTCTTGCTTGATGTACGCTTGTGTATACTCCAAATTGTTGTAAGCTGGAGAAGGCACTTTTCTGTCATCGTACTCGTTGTAATAAGGATACGGAGGGTAAGGGTTGTAACCGTTAAACACTACATACTCGTCTTGTTGGTGGGGTATCACTGAACTAACATACTTTTCACCAGAATTGTTGGTCAAGTCCATCAACTTGGACGATTGTTCATAATGCGATTGACTTGGTGACAGTTGACTGTACACAGGGGACGAGCTGTCGCTACGTGTCTCGAACATTTTCCCGGTACAGTGACGACACTGAAGATCGGATAGGACGCTGTCTTATTTCTGAATCGTTAAGATAGCTTTGAGTCGCCTCTACCAATCGGCTGCGAGGATCGTCCCTACCCGGGAGATGAGACCCTATTCGCTCTCTCTATCTTTCCTTGTTTGTCTCTGTCGGGCCGTTTCGCATGGTGTCATCGGTTTAGTATGGTCGATTTAGGTTTTTGTATGGGAAGACTTTGCTTTGAAGTCAAGCGCGGATCCAGGATAAATGTAATAGAAAACATACTCTTTGCAAATATGTAAAGCTTATAAACGTGCAAAAAATCACCAGGTTTGGTGAAGAATCACACACAAGACAACCCTGATCAATTTGTAAGCGCATCGATGATGGCGTGAAAATAAGATGGTTGCGGTTAAGTTTTGCATATGGAAATAAAACAACACGGTAGGTAGTTTTGAATGACTTTATTGTTTTTCGAGGTATTCTCCACGAAGATTAATACACATCTGCATGCGCTCGAACCAATTTTCGAAGCACTTATTCCACTCGTTTGCTGGCAGATCCAAAACGGCATTTTTGAATGCGTCAACCGCTTCTTCTGGTGACTGGAACCTTTGACCACGCAGTCTGTTTTTAATTTTCGGGAAAGTAAAGAAATCGTTAGGACCTAGATCGGGGCTGTATGGAGGATGGTCCATTAATTTCACGTTTTCTTCCGTTAAATACTGCCTTGTTTTTTGGGCTGTGTGCGAGCTTGCATTGTCTTGGTGGAGGATGATCTTTCTTGCGGGGTTGATTTTTCGAAGCTCGGTGATGACTTTTGGCAAACAAATGGTGGTATACCAATCCGCAGTAACAGTTATTTGCTCATTAAGAGGAAGTGTTGCAATATGCTTTTGACATAAATGTGGCGACCATCTTTTTTGAAACTCTTCGAGAACGGAACAACTGCTTCTTCTGGTGACTGGAACTCTTGACCACGCAGTCTGTTTTTAATTTTCGCAATATGACCCGCTTTTGACACAAATGTCGCGACCATCTTTTTCAAAACACTTCTAGAACGGATGACTTTTGTTGGCTTTTTTTCACCTTAGAACACCCAAACAGCCGACTTTCGTTTATTTTCTAGTTCATAAGAGTAAATCCACGATTCATCACCACTAACAATGCTGTACATATTTTTTAAGTTTCCGGAATTGAAACAATCAAGCGTTTTTGTACACCAATTAACTCTGGCTGCTTTCTGCTCTTCAGTCAAGAGGTGGGGGTATTAACGAGAAACTAATTTTCTTACTCCTAATTCTTCATGTAAATTTTTTTGAATTCAGGTCTTTGAGATCTTCAAGGACGCCTCAACCTCGCGATATGTCACATGTCTATCTTCAATGATGAGTTTGCGCACAGCATCGACGTTTTCCTGGTGATTGCCGTTTTTGGTGCACCCACCCTGGGATCGTCGCTAAGACTCACCCGTCCACGTTTGAATTCTCCATACCAACGGGAAATTGTCGACAGATGTGGCGCTTCGTTGCCGAAAACAGACAGTAACTCATCAAGGCATTCTTGTTGCGATAATTGTCTCTGAAGGTTGTAATAAATTATGGCGCGAAAATGTTCTCGGCTGAGTTCCATTTTTCTAATGACTTGTTGACACTTAAAAATTCACTGTAGTGAGAACACTGCACGTATTGTTGTGAAACTTTAAATTTAAGTTTACTAAAGAGTGAGGTTAAGACTCGGTACTGACGTTCGATCTGCGCGGCCTACTATGTTTCTATATGCAAAACTTAAAAGACATCCCTCGTATAGGCAGAAATGCAGATGCTTGAGACAAATATTCCATAAGAAACAGTAAAATACTTTAGAAATTAGTGCCTTCTCTTGTTACAATCGCATGGTAATTTGGGGTACTGTATTCGGACATAAAGTTTAATAATCGTGGAGTGATATTGTGCGGTACGTATTTCATATAGGAAGTTGGCCACTTGGGAACCTTCGTGGGGCCTAGCGCCAAATTTTCGATATTCATAAAAATATGATACATAAAAACCAAGAAAGCTTGATATACTACAAAGAGAGTTATTCTCTGCAACAGGTGGAATCTGGTTGCCCATACGTCCAGCTTGACGCAAATATAAATAAAATAGCGGTTTTGCGTGTTATGGCCACATGTCCGTTAGTGCATTATGGGAAATTCAACGCCATGTGTGCTGTGATTAAGGTAGTTAATTGAAAATTTAGATATTCGGACAAGAGTATAAGAAAAAACCTTTTCGCGCGCCTTTAACGCTATGAGCAAATTTGACAAAATACTTTTTGACTGACAAAATCAGACTGTGTACATCCCCTTCTAATCACTGACCTTCAGGAGCGACTATCTGTAGAGACACTAATGCAACTTACAATCGAGTACCAACCTCTCTTGAACAATAATACGCCAATCTAAATAATCGTGAATGAATGTCAGCTGGGGATGACAAAATGACAGCGAGTGCAGGATATGTCGCGGTGGATTTCTATACTCTTATTGAAAATTCCTATGCCGAAATGTATACCAACATCAAAAAGTTCGCATGTATCCTTGCTACATTACCAGTTGGCAGTGGCGGCTCGTGGCAAAATAAAACAGGTGTTCTGCAAATCCGAACTTACCTATTTGTTATATGTCAGTTCGATCCTGCGCTCCTTCTTGGCACCAAATTTGTCGATCATTTTCCCGTTGAAATTTTCCATGGTCGAAATAAATTCCTTTTCAATGCGACAACGCTGTAAGGCGATCCTGGGTCATAGTATTACGAAGAAAAGTCGTGATTCTTTTCAATGTTGAGAAATTTCGCTCAGCCTCTGATGTATCAAAAATTTCAAAAAAGACAGAGTTCCATGTAAATCTCGGCAATCATTCCGTGCATAAATAACAGATAACTCTGTCTTTAAACGACTTTTTTCTAATTCGGGATAAGCCAAGCAGGTAGTTTCCTTGTCATCAGGAAACTTACCACAGTATTTTCCAAAGCGTTCGGGGAAAACAGGGATGCGGCTACCAAATCATCTTTGAATTGAAATATGTCATTTGCAGAATTCACTATATTGTCGCATACTTCTAATGCGGCAACTCGGTGATCGTGACTGCTATTATTACGTCGTCTCCTTTTGTTGCCTTGGGGTTCAGTGGAAATACTTTTGGCTTCATTTATTATGTCATCAATTCTATTTCTCACATCGACAATACATTTTTCAAAATTATCGATAACTTGCGCTGGCTCGGTTTTTCTCTTCTGCAACTGGTTGAACAAGATGTCGACGTGAGGCTTGACATGATGGAAAAATGTCAACCAAAACACGAAAACAGAATCGTTTAACATACGGCGAATACCGCAAGCTTGCAAACGGTTTCATTAGTGAAATCTTCTTCTATTTCTTCGAGTTGTTGCTCCTTGGGGAATTTTTTCCCCACAATTCTGTTCAGTACCTCTACGCGTTGAGAATTATTAAAAAATCCCGGAATATCTGTCAAATCCCCAAAGAACACCCGAACTTGAGCATTTGCGGAAGCAGCTTGGGTCATAATCAGGTTTAACTGATGCGCCTAGCAATGTACATAGTGAGTAAATGGATATCTTTGTTCAATTTTTGCCTGTACTCCAGCATTATGTCCGCTCATTACCGCGACTCATCATAGCTTTGTGAAATCAGCTTTTTAGGGAAATTTCCTATTAATGGATCTACGTCTTGTGAGAGTATCAGCGTCTATTTTTTGTATCTGAAAATTGTTACCAGTTGGGTTTTCCCCGAAATGTCCTTTGTTTCATCTGCTATTATTGCCAAATACGAGGCTCTGTTAATCTGTTTTATTATTTCTTCATGACAAACTTCAAGAATACAATCCAGTAGATCGTTTTCTACTTCTTTCGAAGTTCCTTTAAATATTGAAGCATTTTTTATATGTTCGCTTGAGGTTGTATCAAGCTCAGCAGAAAAATTAATCAGTCCACGAAATATTTCCGGGTTTTGGGAGCTCTCGGTTTCGTCATAGCCCCGTCGCGCCAATTCAAATGCAAAATTTTATACCGAGCACCGACCGACCAATCAGATATCGTACTTTGCATTAGATCTGTACGGATCTGTATAACTTGCATTACATGCTTATGCTTAAATAGCGCATTTGATTTTATAGAGAGAGACAAAAGCAAGCGCGTGCGGCTTGTGTGGAAGTAGTGCACAGACCCTTTTCAAGTAGCCCATGAATAATTTTACGCTGCGGTCGCGACGAAAATGACAAGTTCACAATTGGTCGATTATACTGCTTTCTCAATACAAAAAAGACTCGACGCTGTGTCTTGCGGGGGCAGCGTTGCCGGTATTGTTTCGATTTTTGTGATAACATGGACAATAAATAATGATCAAATTGCTACTGCTTTTTGCGTTTTGGCAGTTCTGCAGCTCTGTAGAACTTAAGGGTCAGCCGCCCCTGCCAGTTAGTATACTGACAGCAGAGAGGTCATTTTCTACGCTCAGGAGGCTCAAGACGTGTTTGCTAGCAACGCTGGCAGAAGATCGCCTAACTGGACTGACACTTTTATATGTCTATAGGATTTATTAAACCACATTTAGGCTACACCGTGAGAGTACACGGATAGGGTCACTGCCACCCCGCTCTTCAATTTTTAAATGCATCCCCCCCCCGATTATCTTTCTGAATATGAATCATATGACCCCCCTGACACAAATGCTGGATCCGCCCTTGTGAGTGGCTTCTGAAGTCTTGCACTTATCCCGTGGTTGCCTTCTTCATTAATCGTTCAAAAATCTCTGTGTTGAAAAAGATTTCGCAAAAACAGAGGCACAGCGAAATTGTCGAACAATTTCCCTGAAGTGACTTCAGTTCTACCATACCCGAAGATCAGAATTAATAGCTGTGATAGCAGAATGGAATTGTACGAATTCCTTGCCTATCGTCAGACAGTGTAGACATTTTTCATTTTTCCATATTCACGGTCCCGCTACTGATCGTCCATCTGAATATATGTTTCTTAGTTGTACACTTTTTTAAAATAAGTATGTAAATCCATTTTTGACACCAAATAACTGCGGTTTTTCAGCAACAAGGATGAGTCACTGCCATCAATTTTGATCTTAGGGTATGTAGCACCTAAATATATATATACGAGGGATGTCTTTTAAGTTTTGCATATAGAAACATAGTTGGCCGCGCGGATCGAACGTCAGTATTGAATCTTAACCTCACTCTTTAGTAAACTTAAATTCAAAGTTTCAGAGACAATTATCGCAACAAGAATGCCTTGCTGAGTTACTGTCTGTTTTCGGCAACGAAGCGCCACATCAGTCGACAATTTCCCGTTGGTATGGAGAATTCAAACATGGGCGGGTGAGTCTTAGCGACGATCCAAGGATAGGTGCACCAAAAACGGCAGTCACCCAGGAAAACGTCGATGCTGTGCGCAAACTCATCATTGAAGATAGACATGTGACATATCGCGAGATTGAGGCATCCTTGAAGATCTCGTTGGATACCACACCTGTTGACTGAAGAGCAGAAAGCAGCCAGGGTTAATTGGTGTCAAAAAAAGCTTGACCGTTTCAATTCCGGAAACTCAAAAAAAATGTGTACAGCATTGTTAGTGGTGATGAATCGTGGATTTACTGTTATGAATCAGAAAATAAACGACAGTCGGCTGTTTGGGTGATCCAAGGTGAAGAAAAGCCAACAAAAGTCATCCGTTCTCGAAGTGTTTCGAAAAAGATGGTCGCGACATTTGTGTCAAAAGTCATATTGCAACAATTCCAGGTATACCAATCCCAGAACTGTTACTGCGGATTGGTATACCACCATTTTTTTGCCAAAAGTCATCACCGAGCTTCGAAAAATCAACCCCGAAAGAAGAATCATCCTCCACCAAGACAATGCAAGCTCGCACACAGTCCAAAACAAGGCAATATTTAACGGAAGAAACCGTGGAATTATTGGACCATCCTCCATATAGTTCCGATCTAAGTCCTAACGATTTCTTTACTTTCCCGAAAATTAAAAACAGACTGCGTGGTCAAAGGTTCCAGTCACCAGAAGAAGCAGTTGACGCATTCAAAAATGCTGTTTTGGATCTGCCAGCAAACGAGTGGAATAAGTGCTTCGAAAATTGGTTCGAGCGCATGCAGATGTGTAATTATCTTCGAGGAGAATACCTCGAAAAACAATAATGTCATTTAAAACTACCTACCGTGTTGTTTTATTTCCATATGCAAAACTTAAAAGACATCCCTCGTATATATATATATAGGTGAAAAATTAAAGCTTCCGCCTTTTGTTGGGTACTTTGACAAAAATTTAAGCAAAGAGGACTCTTTATACTTTTTATATTCTCTCTAGCTTTCAATGGACTTTGCCATCATCATCAGGAGCCGCAATTACATTGATAACAGTAGCAACAATAATGTAAAATTAAAAATTGACTTAACTTACAGTAGTATGTGAGGATGTTGCTAATTGTTGTTTACGTTCAGGATGAGGGAAACACCCAGTAACATGGTGAAAGCTGGATAGATGGTACAATGGTCAAAATTATATAAAATACACACAACTGTGTGACAAGAACAAGTTAAAAACAGATTAAAAATTTTTAGAACATGAAAGCATTACATCGTGAAGCCACTTGATGATTGCACAAAATGGTGGACATGGAATAATGAGTGAGATGAACCCTTTGACAGAAGGCCGAAGGTTGTCAATGTCTGTGTAGAAAGATGGAACGAATTGTGGGCGTGTACTACGTTGCCAAATCACTTCAGATGATGTGGTTTTCAGAATGTGTTAAACCGACCAGATTCAGTTGAATTAACTATATTTTAATTAATGGGCAATTAAATTAACACTTATTATTAAATCGTGAGGAGAAAATTATTAGAATTTGAGTGGAATGAAGTTTATTGGTGGGATAGACCAAGAAACAGATTCCATTTATGGTTGTGAAGAGTCAAAATTTGGGGAGATATGTAACTGCGAAAAATTGTTTATATTGTTTATAATTGTTAATTTAATTGCCCATTAATTAAAATATAGTTAATTCAACTGCCTCTGGTCGGTTTAACACATTCTGAAAATCACATCATCTGAAGTGATTTGGCAACGTAGCACACGCCCACAATTCATTCCATCTTTCTACACAGACATTGACAACCTTCGGCCTTCTGTCAAAGGGTTCATCTCACTCATTATTCCATGTCCACCATTTTGTGCAATCATCAAGTGGCTTCACGATGTAATGCTTTCATGTTCTAAAAATTTTTAATCCGTTTTTAACTTGTTCTTGTCACACAGTTGTATATAATTTTGATAATAATAATTTTGACCATTGTACCATCTATCCAGCTTTCACCATGTTACTGGGTGGTTCCCTCATCCTGAACGTAAACAACAATTAGCAACATCCTCACATACTACTGTAAGTTAAGTCAATTTAAATTCATTTTACATTATTGTTGCTACTGTTATCAATGTAATTGCAGCTCCTGATGATGATGGCAAAGTCCATTGAAAGCTAGAGAGAATAAAAAAAGTATAAAGAGTCCTCTTTGCTTAAATTTTTGTCGAAGTACCCAACAAAAGGCGGAAGCTTTAATTTTTCACCTAACTGGTCTAGACTCTGCAGCTTCTTCGGAACAAATCCATTTCTGACGCCTCCACTCTTTGTCTGTCCCTTTGTCATCTGCCATACATCTGATCCATATAATAGAATGCTTTGTACAATTGTCTGGTAGATCCTTAGTTCAATGTGTCTTTGTATATTATTTGACTTGTGGAGAATATAGAGTTCAGTTGACTTACAGCACATCTTACTTTATTAGCTCGATGTGATATTTTCTCTTGCTTTGATATTTTAACTTCTATATAAATATACTCTTTACATGCCTCTACTAAAGAAGGCACCTAAATATGACATGGCTTACGTTTTGTCCTATACTCTCTTATGTTATGTTCACATTTTTATAAAGTAACTGCCCTGGTTAGCCCAATTACAAGGCATAGACACTTAGCTGTTAATGCAAATAGAATAATAGATTATTAAATGTCTCTATGAAATTGTTTCTGGCTCTTGCTAACCGTGCCATTCCATGTCATAACTTTAACTGTCGTCTGTCAACTAAAAAATGTGACGACGAAACGAAAAAAGTATTTGGTGAGGATCAGCCGTCCTTGGGAATCGTCGAGAGATATTTGGATTCGAAACGTAGCTTATTTAACTTAGAACAGTCCGAGTTCAGGCCGGCCATATGGAATCGTAACCGAGAGGAACGTAGACTGTGCGAGAGAAGCTATAATGACAGGGTGGCGAATCACACATACCGCCAGCGGCGGATTAACAAGAGTAGCAAATTTCAAAGCACTCGTAATGAGCTTTGAAATGTGGTATCGCACGACTATCAGTATGTTTAAAAAAGCTACCTCTTATTTTTACAGCTAGTGTCTAGTTTGATTTTCATATAGAAAGAAGTCTGGCCATAGTGATGGTATAAAATATGGTCAAACATTTGTTTGGACACAATTTTTCCTATATGGTGGCGCAAACGGCAAAGATACGACGTATAAAAGTAGGGATTCGGAGGGAGCACGTCAAAATATATGTGAGCAACGGTTTTTAAAACCTTTTCGAAGCGTTCCAGGTGAAACTATCAAGTTCTTGATCCAACTAATGCTTCGACGCCAAAACTATTCATTCATCCAAACTAGCCGGAACGGAGGCATTGTGGAAAAACACTTAGAGCTCTACTTTTTCAAATGATAGCAAAGCGATTATTCGGAAAGAGCGCTTTGAAATCTGTGAGACCTTCTTTTCAAAACTCCCTCAAAATTTTCCAGGTAAAGCTAGGAGCCCCTTCCCACTTCAGTTGGCCCTCTTCAAGATTTGTACCAAAATATGCCTTTATAAACTACACATGACGAAACTATTTACTTCTAAAAGAATTTATTTTCTCAAAAACATTTTAGATACACTCTAATCGTAAAAAATACTTATTTGAAATCACTTAGACCTATAACTAATAGAACATCTGAACAAATCAACAATGTGCGAATAAATGCGCGAAGTTAACAAAGCAACAACTGAAAGATTACCATTGGGTAACACCACCTTTATTTTTTATTACGGCTGAAATTCTTTGGGGCATAGTGTTAACCAAGTTTTGGCAAAAAATTGGTGTAAAACAATCCCATATTTCTTGAAGCTTTTGTCTCAGTTCGGTGATTGTACGAGCAGGATGTTGTCGTAGAACCTTTTTCATCTCGTGCCACAAAGTTTCAATAGGTGACAGATCTGAACTGCTAGAAACCCACTTCAAAAGTGGTACATTATTTTCTTCCATCCATTTTATAGACTTTTTGAGGTATGGCAGGCTGCACTATCTTGCTAAAACACAAAATCTTGGCCGGATGTCAAACATTCTTCCAACATTGGTAAAAGCGATTCTTCTATAATTGCCAAATATTTGTTTGTATCCACATTTCCATCAATAAAATGAAGTTATCCTACTCCTTTTGATGACACACTGCCCCAGACCATAATGGATGCAGAAAATTTCACTTTTCTCTTCAGACAGTCAACATGGAATGCTTCATTTTTTTGCGAATAACTCTACTGCGACTGTCACCAACGCAAACTTCGAATCGGGCCTCATCACTCCATTGTATTGCACACCATTGTTGAGGTGTCCATTGTCCATGTTCTTTAGCCCATCTAAGCCGATTTTTCTTTTGCAGTGAAGTTAATAGTGGCTTTTCTTTGGCCTATAAACAAGTTGTGCAACTTTAGGGTTTTTACTTCACTTTTTTTTATAAGAAAACTTACTGTTCAAGTGCTAAATCCCAGTTTGTGGGCCTCTCTATGAGTTGTGGACCTCGAACTTCTCCTTCCAACAGCGTCACTCCACAGAGCACTTAATTGTAAATAATTGGCACGCCTGTTTTTCACGATTATTCTTCTTAATGCTCTTCGGTCGGCATTTGTGATATTACTTTTTTTCACATATCGTGGCCTAATATTAACTGAACCAGTTACGTTATATCTTCTAACAATATTTCTCACACTGTACCGCGATAAATCTAACAAAGTTGCAATTTCCGAGTTTGATTTCCCAGAATTAAAAAAATTAATTATCAGTAACCGAATTTTCTTACTAATAACGTTTCGTCTACCCATTTTGAAAACCTTAACTACCCATAACTATTTTAAACGTATTCTGACATCTGTGATTAATAAAAACAATTGTCATGGCTTTTATTTTTCACAGCCACCTATGTGTTAGAGACTTATTTTGAATTGAAATGAAAATAGGTTGATATGCTGTAATTGCAACATGTGTTATTTTTATGCTGCAAATTTGATTAGGGAGTGATAAAGTTGGTGTTTTCTACTATATTATCAAAATATTCATTGTTAATATTTTAAACCTATAACACCCTGCCACATTTTTATTATTTGTGTTTGATAAGAAAAAAATTAAGATTTCAATAGTTGGGCCAACTGAAGTGGGAAGGGGCTCGTACACAGTGATTGAATTGTAGTCTTAGGCAAAGCGTTGGACTATAAGTATGGACCATGTAGTTGGGCACATGTGAGCAGTACTCGAGGATAGGTCTTGTCTGGGCCAATTACAGGATGAGGACGTTATGTGGAGAACATTACTTCTAAGCATTAAGCAAATGGCCTATTTTTTTCCAGCAGCAACTTCTCGGTGATCTGGACTCCGACCAGCCGAAATGAACGGCTTTTCGGTAGAACTTGGTCATCTATCGAAACCGGATGAGCGTTAGGACATTTCATGATAGTCAAGGTGCAGTACTGCGTTTTAGGAGCACTAAATAGATCCACATTTTTGCATCCCCAAGTAGTGATAGGTCTCTGATCAGGAAGTCTCCTTCTCTCCAACTCACCGGGCGAGATCGGCTTGGTACTCTGAATTCTTGCATTTTTCAATATTCTCTATCTTTGCTTTCACTACTTTCCTTTGCTAAAAGCACAATTAACTTAAATTTTCTCTATTTTCGTTGTTTCCACGACTAGTAAATCAAGTGCCTGCAAAACGGGTCTGATATATGGCGACGCTTTAATTGATGGGTTATTTTTGTCCTATTAACCTACGTTTTGATAGTTTTGCTAAATTTCCTCACTACATGCGCGCCAATTGAATGGAGATGAATTACGCTTTCGAGGCGATTAAAATTAGAATACGCATGAATGCCAAAACAAACACGAATATCAGTCGATTCCAGCGAAGTCAAGGTGCTTGGTTAGAAAATTGGTGAGAAGTAGACCGTCTTGTCAATTTTCGTTGCATTTAACATTTGTTTAAACATTTAAAGCACCTACAAAGGAACATCCTAAATGCCGAAATACCACAACCTACTTTCGCTTGTTTTGTTTCCTTTGTATATATATTTCCAATGACACTGAAGACACGACACTGAAGATTACTAAAGCATGAAACAACGCTGTAAACGGTTGGTTATTGTCACGGAGATGGAAAGAAAATAGATCTAGTTCAAGCTATCACTATATTTGTTGACAGGGGAAATCTTTAACAGCCACTCTCAGGCAGAAAAGCTCGACAGTGATAAGAATAACAATGAATGGTCATCATTCATCATTCAAGGTAACTTAAGAAAGAAAAAATGCAATGATAACATGAAGAAAGGCGTAGTTCTACCTAAGCTGCTTTTCAACTAAACCTACAAAAAAATACGTTCATTCAAAATGTATATAAAAAAAATAAGCAATACAAAATAGAACACACGAGAACAGCGACAATGCTGTTTTTATGAGAGCACAACTCATGCAAAAAAGAACAAGACGACATAAAAAGAAACGTAACATACTGGGACATTATCCTTCAAAGCGTGGCGATCGTTGGTTATATCTTAGGCCTTTGTTCGTGCACGACATCGGCTTTCAATCTTTTTTTAAAATTGTAAAGGCTCAGATTTTTGGGATCTACTAACTGTCAAGTAGTTTCGCAGCATTGTGTGAATAACTGCGCTTAATCAGAGCCATTCAACGTTTTGGAATAGCCAAAAGATGTTTATAGCGAGTTACTTTATTAAAACGCAGCCTGGTAAGTTTATTGTATAAATAAGTAGGTATTTTACTAGTAACGAACGATCTTGTGTGCTTATGTGAGAAAATGAAGTTTTCTTATGTTAATCATAGTAAGCCAACCGGAATCCATAAAGCTCTCACTGACGTGGTCACACTTCCGGATACCATATGCAAATCTGATGCAAGCATTTTTAATTCGCTGAATGAGTAAAATATCTGTTTGCAAAAGGGCAGGTCCATACATGCAGTCACAGTAAGCCAGTTTATACAAAATCAAAGCTTCACATAGTTTGACCTTCATAAATTTGAATTTTGATAACATCCTCCTGCTGGGATAAAGTTGTCTTAACACATTATATGAGGGCTGACACAAGTGATTAACATGTTTTGTACGAGTATATCTCATCAGAGTCCAGCCCTATGCCCAGATTTTTGTTTTCACTGGTTGTTGGCAAAGCTACATTATTTATAATAACTGAAAATGTGCCACGCAGATCAAGTCTTTTATTTTTAATGGCAAAAATTTTGCTGTAAATTATGTGCTATAGATATGTTATATAAATATTTTAAATCGTTATTCAGTTCAATCTGTGCAGTAACAGCTTCGGATCCTGAGAACGTTATATATGTATATTATATCTGAGTATCGTCGGCATAATGATTTAACTGAGAAAATTTAACAAAGTCATGCAAGCCACTTGTGTATAAGCTGAAAAGAAGTGGACCCAAGACTGAACCTTGAGGATCACCGGTAAGTTTATTCAATAAGGAAGAGTATTTATCATCTATATCTGTACTCTGAGTGCGATTTTTTAAGTTGCTCTCAAGAAGTAGAACCGAATTATAAGAAAAACCGAAATATACCAATTTTTTGAGAAGCGTGTCGTGGTCCAAGGTATCGAAACCTTTGCTGTAGTCGAGTAAAACAAGACAAGTGGAATTACCTTGATCAGTTGCCCTAATAATATCGTCCGGAATCTTCATTAAAGATGAGGGCGAAAACCTGACTGGAAGCTGGTAATAATATTACTTTGAATAGGGTAGGCAGAATTCCTAATCGGTCTTAGGTCAGAGAGTTCATCAGGTGAGTTACATTTAGGTATTGTCCTCACTAAAGCATACTTTTACAAAAGGAAGTGTTCCAGATCCAGATCAGATCAGAAATTTAAAATAAACGTGATATACTCTATTAAATCAGAGGATACTAATAGTAACATACGTGATGAAATATCGTCCGAGTATGCAGCATTGCATTTAATTTTATCAAGAAATTTTAACACACTGGGAATTTATTGTTGTGAATCTAAAAGAACCTTCATTAGCTTGCATTACATGGGTATCGTATTTTTTAAGCATATCAATTTGAAGCTGACTTTTAACCAAATTTGGGGCGCTATTAAAATACCCGTTCACAGGGTTGCTATTCTTTAACTTGAGTAGTAGTTCAGATAAGCTTTATCTCTAAGTCACATCATCATTTTTAAATTATATGTATGCCAAGGAGCAGGCGGCTTACTAACCCTCACTTGACGATAGGGTGCGTGGTGATCAAAGAGAGTTTCAAGATTTACGTTAAGATGATCCACCATAGAGTCTACATCTGATGGTGTGTAGATGAACCTCCAGTTAACAGAATATAGATCGTTATAAAATAAATCTGAGTCAAACTTTGAGTAATCGCGGTATCTTAAAGACTTTCCAAATCTACTCGTTTTAGAAAAATAAATTTTTAGAGTCAAAACAGAATGGTCCGAAATATCAACATCAAGGGTATCGACTGTCATCTGGACCACCTACTATGAGCAAATCTATCAATGTACTCGCAGACTCGGTTATTCTAGTTGCAGTATTGCCCTACTGGCCTTTTTGTCCGAAGGTGGGATTTTCCAGAAATGCTGCATAAACACTTAAACCCCCCAATCGTTCCTTACACTTCTCATCACAGTGACGCTTGCAGCATTAAGTCATGGTGGGCGGCGTCGCGCCAAGTTTTCATACAAAAGGTTTTGTAGAGGGCGCATCTCTCCTCAGCCAGTAAATCAATTGGTGGGATACCAGCCACCACCAGCAGAGCGTCTGTCGACACTTACGCGCAGGCCTTGCGTAGCACTACTTTTCGGTGATTTGTGAGCATCAGTTGCCTATATTTCTTTTTTCGCAAAAAAAACTCGTATATCAAGCAAAACTCTATTTTATATCTTTTACGTAGAATTTATAAAATGGCAAAAGTAGGGAAATAGTCATTGATTAAGTCCTGTGTCAATTAAATTCAATTAACCTAGTTTCCATAAGGCTGAATACCACCTATATCGTTTGGTTATTTCCAGAAGGTGTAATTTTGCAGGATCGATAGTACTGAAAACCACACACTAGTAAGACTTAATTGCATACCTTGCTGAAAATGTTTACCAATATATGTGTTCCAGTTCATGCAAAATTAATAATAATCGATTTTGAGATGCTATATAAAATCTTTGACGATGATAGCTTGTGCAAAGGTTTCGCGATGCAGAAACTTCACAGATATCCCAATGATTTCTTTAGAACCAATGACATTATTTCTCATGTGGTTGGTTTATGGAAATACAACCCAGCGGAAATAACTGTTTTTCGGAGGATCGCACAGCTTTTTTGGACTTTTTCAAACTACATGTTTGCGCTATCAATTTTGGTACTTGAACATATTGTCTTCAGGTAAGGATGCGATTGCGTATTTTATATAACTGCATTTAGCTATACTGAGACCTGGGTACAAATATTGCTTAGTTTTAGATATTGCAAGCCTTACTTTCCAAAACTCTACACATTTTTCAGCATGCTACAATCTTATGGTGAAGACTAATAATAGACACACGAGAATTTTCATAATCTATGATGAACTAATAAGGGTGTATCAATAAACATGCAATATTTATTTTTAGCGCCATTTTGGCAGTCATAATTTCATTGTGACGTGACACATCGATAGTCGTCAGGCGGGAGCTTATGTAAATGAATCATTACACAATAAAACAGCGTAACTATCCTAATTGTTAAAAATTATTACCAAAGTGGTGAAAGTTTAATGGCCACGATTCGAAAAGTGCAGCTAATATTCGGTCGGAATAATGTTCCTACCCCATCCACTGTGAAAAGAATAATCCAAAAATTTGAAAGTAATGGTTCTGTTATTGATGCGAAACATACGAGACGAGCTCGCAGCGGTCGTTCAGAAGAAAATGTCAGAGCAGTTCGCGAAAATATAGCCGAGAGTCCAAAGGACGTCGATTCGTCATCGCTCAAGGATTGGCATTAAAACAGCCACTCTCCAGCGTATTCAAACGAAAGATTTACACCTGCATGCCTACAGCTTATGCCAACAGACCATGCACAGCGAAGAGGTTTTAGCAATTGCCAACAGTAAGTGAATGGTGATTTTGTAGACAAAATCATTTTTAGCGATGATGCCCATTTTCATCCCGATGGCTCAATAGACAAAACTGTCACATTTGGGGCACAGAGAATCTAAGAGTAATTCATGAAAAAGCTATAAATCCAAAACGTGTCACTGTTTGGTGTGCACTATGGTCTGGAGGAATTATTAGACCGTTTTTCTTTGAGGCCGAGGCGGGTAATACACTAACAGTAAATGGCGAACGGTATCGTGCAACGATTACTCAGTTTTATGTCTCACAATTAGAAGTCATGGCTCTTCATGACATATGGTTTCAGCAGGATGGTGCCACATGCCATACTGCTTATGAAACGAGTTTGCTTCTGGTCGAGCCATCTCCCGGTTTGGTGACTAGAATTGGCCGCCACGCTCTTGCGAATTATCACCTTTGGACTTTTGGCTTTGAGGTTATCTGATGTTACCACAAATTTTATTAAAAGAGTGCGCATGTGCCAGCGGAGCCGTGTCAGCCATTTACCTGATGTGTTGTTTCTTACAAATCAGTTGTTTGTGACGAAATACCATGTTTAATAGAACCTTGAAATATTGCGACCTTATTGAAACACCCTATAATAGATTCATTTTTTAGAAGTACCATTCATGACAAGAGAAAATTCATCAGTCAGTTTGCTATGCTTCTTGGTCACTACATGGGTGTGGCTAAAATGTTGGTCTTGTTCCTTCAGCACCATAGGTTGATGAAAATAAAAACTGACCTCCAGAATGAAACCTTCAGATATTCAAACTTTGGAAGTTTTCAGCCAGAAAAGATGATGATTGAGGCTAAGAGGTTCTGTTCCAAAGTTTCTGTAATAGTACGTAGTCTAAAAGAGCAGACATATACTATAAATGTGTTGAAAAAATATATACTAAATGAGATGGCAATGCAACACCGACTAGGCATACTTTTACAAGTTTTAGGTCTACTGATAAATAGAAAAAGACTAAAATTTTAACTCTAAATTTCGTCAAATAGTGTCACGTGCCAAAATCACGTAACCGTTTTTTTTTCTTCTATTTATCACTTATCAGTAATTTGAATTTCTCTTCATTGATAATAGAGTGCCCATTCCTAGGCCAAACCCCTTTTCAATGATCTTCTTTTTGCAAATTTAATAGTTTATTGATTGTGTAATTTCACTCGTATTATATCTTTCTTTCTCAGCGATTCAATATGGTGTTGACGATCAGCAAAAAACTCTGCAGTTTTTCTCCGTTACTTGGCTTCCTATAAAACATATCTTCTTCAAGGCCACTCAAGATTCCTTCTTCTAGAACGTTTCGTATTCTGCGTGATTCACTTTTATGTTTCCGTTGAGGTCGTGGTGCAGGGGTCGTTTTGTCGTTTTCCGGACTCTGGGATATTAGGCCCCAAGCGCCCATTCATAGACTAGCGCCCTTTCTTTTTGTTGTGTAACTTAACTTTAGTTAATTTCGTTTGGGTGCTACGTGGTGCTACGTCTTCCATTTTTTTTATGGGATTTTGACCCTCAGCGAAACAGAAGAAAATCATAATCTTTTCTCCTCTAGTCATTTGCATCGTTGCAATTTTGCAAATTGGAAGCCATCCCCTTGAAAAAACCCTGATGTGAACAGGTTTTTTTTTTGTATTACCACCAGAATTTCTGGCGACGAGGCAAGCAGCCCCTGCCCAGAGACGTGTCCACTACCGGCCACTTTTTGACCAGAGTCGAAGACATCCCGGCCGCGCCTGACAAAGAAGACCTACAGATAAGTTCAATATTTAGGCGCAAAATATCTGTAAACACTTCGGGCGTATACCATGGTAGACGTTTCGCGGGGTTATCTTGAAAAATAATTTTGTCAGGTCGTATTTAAGATTTGTAACATACTTTCTCTTTTTCATTACTCGCACTCCAGTGGTGGAGCATATGTGCGTATTGTTTTTTTTTTAATCAATATATTGTGATCCATTTGATATCTTGTTTATTTGGCTCTCTCTGTGTGTACTGTTACTTAAATTTCGTCATTAGATTCTCCTTTTGCGTGGTGGTCAAGCGAAACAAGTTCCGACTAACATCTCGGGAAGTTGTGGCTTAATCCGTCCTAAGTCACTGGCGCTCTTAACCCGCCCCTACTCTCCGCTTTATTGAGTTAGAGCCTAAATTTGCACGCCACTAGACAACTCTTTTGCTTGGACCAACCGTTAGATAGTATTTATCATTGGGTTTCATTAATTAACCAAAAAAAGGCGTGGCAATAGCTGAGATATCCCACCTTAATGTTAATAATGTGTTGAAGGTCCTTTGTTCGCTACACATTCGTTAACTCGCCGCGGCATTGATTGGATTAGGTGATTGATGCCTTCTTGGTGTATTGTATTCCAGACCATCTGAATTTGGTTTCGTAGAGCCTCCAATATTTGTGAAGGGTGCGGTGAATTCTGCAACCTTCTTGCCATCATTTCACATTCTTGTTCGATGGGGGAAAGGTCTGGAGATCGAGGAGGCCACTGAAGAGGCCAAAAGGTCTAAACTAACGCGTGCGACATGAGGTCGTGCATTGTCACACTGAAAAAGTGGATCTTGACATGTTTCCAAAAAGGGAAGCATATGTAGTTGTGAAACTTCGTGGATATAGCGCTGGGCAGTCATGCTACCTCGAATGAACACTTATCGTGACCTACTGCCTTAAGCAATGGCATCCCATACCATAACACCTACAGTGCGATAAATATTCCGTTCGATGGAATATTGGAAGTTCTGTTGCGTCTTTCACCAAGTCTCCTCCTTACTCTTGCACGGCTATCATGTGTGCTCAAAGAGAAACTGGACTCATCGCTGAACACTACTGAGTTCCATTCCACATTCCATTCAAGTCTCTCGCTGCTCCATACCAATCGTTGCCAACGACGCTGTCGGGTCAGAGGTAGTACAATATGAGGACGGTATGAAAACAATCCAAAAGACCTTATTAGGCGATAAACTGTCCTCATCGTTATTACCCTTTCGACAGCATCAAACCACCGGATCGCAACTGCTCTTGTGGAAAATCGATCTCTAAGTGCTAGTTGTCTCAAATAACCATCCTGTTGTTCTGTGGCCTGTCTTTGACGTCCAGTACCTCTAACTTGTCGATTTCGGTCTTCTTGGAGCCACGCTCGACAACATCTCATTACAGTAGCTCTCCAGGCAGGATAATGCAATGAAACAACAACTAAACAAACGGAATAAACACAAAAAAATCTCTGAATATTAAGTAAACATGTTCATATTGTTCGGATGCTGATATGACAAAAACGCCTTTACAAAAAAGGTACGGCTTGGAAGGAATTCAACATTTTATCAGCGTATACGATCATGATGTTTACAAGCTTTTATCAAAATTCAATTAATAATTCTGGGTCATGCATTTTATATGTCACTTAGTATACATTTATTAAGTATTGGCTACGAAAAGTATTTTAATCGTATCCCAAATTTTGTGGTAGTTGGAGCTTAATTATATTAATATTTTTAGATTTTTGCTTCGTACTTTACGATCGCAGTTCTGTGTTTTGTAAGCACAGTTATCCGTCTAGAAGTGGAAAATGATGGAGAGACGTTGAAGGATAAGACATGTTATGACTACTTGCCATATATCTACTACATTCCTTTTGACGAGACTACAAAGACTAAGTGTATATATGCAAGTTTATTGATGAGCTACAATATCGTTATTTTTTCTGGAGTTATCGCATGTGAGTTCTGTCCTTTCAAGTTCAAGCTGAATACTAAAGTCAAATACGAAAATGTGGAGAGTAACATAACTGATCGTACCCCACTGGTAACGTGGCGTACGAGGATCAGTGGTGGATTTGCCTAGGAGGACGCAGTTAAGTGGGGCGCAAACCAGAGCGGTGGCCGGTGACTACATGTCCGCTAACCAATGCGATTATTCAGCGACAAATTTGGTATCTTTAAGAGTACATATTCAGAATTAAAGTATGTTATGAGTGCACAGGATCTAGAAGAAGAAGCTTTGCTTTTGGCTTCTTTAGTGGATGAAGATGAGGTAAGTATGTAAACAAATTACTAATAATTATAATAGGAAAAAATTGCAAATCCAAAATAGACTTATGTTATTATTTATATTTCTTGTCTTGTGTTAAAGCTATTTGTGTAGTAGCACTTAAAAAGATGTGACCAGTTTTTAAATTTGTTAGAAGAACATGAACAGCAGACCGACCTTGGAGCCTTTGAAAATTTTGCAAACGATGCCCGAAGATCAACAAACGTAGCGTTTCATATGTGAAAAATTTAATATTTAATATTTTAATGATTAGATAAGTATTAAAAAATACTTTTTTGTCTAAATAGAAATCTATAAAAGTTAAAACTGTAGCTACTTACCCATCGTTCGGCTTATAGATAAAGCAATTTCATCCCATGATTTTCTTTTTTTTAATATTCTTATAGTCACTGTAAGACAAGTCATACAAGATGGAATGTTCCCACACATTTTCGATAAGTTCTTCGGTATCACACATGCTTGCTACTACTCCATAGAAAGAATATCGCGCGAACTATGCGGGCAAATGGTGCATGCAGCATTCTCCCGCAGGACGCAAGTTCGACGCGCTAGAACCATTTGCTTGCCACCGCGATCGCTATTGCCACAACGGCCGCCACCGCTCTGTTTGCGCCCCACATTATGGTTGCAGTGTTCATGCTCAGGAAAATTTTCGTCACAAGATTGAAGAGCGGGGAAGGTTAGGGTTGTTGATGGCCGTTGCATGCGGTCCTTTTTGCGGTGGTTCTTTAATTTAAGGCTGACCAGTTTATAACCATAACAATGACGTCATGACCTGGTTCTAAGTTTTTATAACCAGCCCGGGGGGCTAGTTCTAATTCTGTTATGTCTTGGACTTAAAGTGAATTACTGTCATGTTCTGAAAGTCTAAAAAACTCAAGCAAAACTTGAAAAGCTTAAAAATCAAGTTATTTTAATCCAAATGTCGGTCCCCACCAATTTGAGAATTGGTACATTCGATTTCAAGACAGAAAAACGTCATTAATTACGCCATTATCAGGACCGTTTATGACTGTCACTGTATAAAATCCTGTCATTTTTGGGGGGGTTGCGTCACAGGTCTATTGGAAAAACTTGGGCGTCCATGGGGGTATCCTGCGTACCTCCATCTGAATCTGGTCAGGCCATTTCGAGACTCAACTATAGATCCTCTGTACTTTTAGGTCATGACGCACTATATTTTGCTTTCGTATACTGTCTGAAAACCCAATTTCTGATACTTGGAGGTGCTATACGTACCATAAGAGGAAGAGTCCTTCAGAGGCTTAATTTGCCTTCAAATTATGCTGTTTTTAACGACGATCATCATCCAGCTTTAGAAAAGGAAATGTACAACGAACTTATATTCGTAAATAAGCATTTCAAATTACTAATCAGGTCAATACTTCAAATATTCCCCAGTTCTTGAGAAAACAGAAGATTTTGATGCATTTTTGATTTTAGTGTTACCAACGAAATTGAGAAGGCCTTTACATATCAAACTCTAGCCCAAACAATCGTAACGCTGATTATGATAGCATCATCTCTATTTATTATGTCTAATGTAAGTTGCATTTCTGAGATAAAAATGATGTTTTTAAGAACAATGTGGGAATTTGACATACTTTTCGTGTTCCAGATTCCACTGAACTCTATTGAATTTTTCACACAAGCTGAGTATTGCTTGTGCGTTTTTGGATCAGCGAATATTTTGTACTGGTCAGGCACTGGTATAATAGTTGCGGTAATATTTACTCAATATCCATTCTCTAACAAACATTATTATTTTATTAAATATGATGGCGTTATAGTTCGATTTTTGCCTTTCCTATGATAGCGAGTAGGTACTTCTATAACCGTGTTTTTATTTGTGTATGTTTTTTAGAGTGACGATATTAGCCAAGCCTTATACGAAACTGATTGGTTTAGTAGCAGTAGAAGATTCAAAAAGGCAGTTTTGATTATCATGAGTCGAAATAAAACTCCCTTATGGCTTACCATAGGCAGGTTTGTTCCTTTGAATCTCAGCGTCAGTGCAACGGTAGGTTTCTTTGTGAAATGACTTACATTAAACTGTTCTGCGCGAAAATACGCTCCGCCAAACAAATTCGTTGGTTCGATAAGTTCTACATATTTAACCCTTACACCGACCTTTAAATTATCGTATCACGTAACGGAGTCCAGAGAGTACCAACAACATGCTTTAAGCAGGTGTAAGAATGAACCTGTACGATATTTATATTGCTATAGCATAATGGGGTACGACGTTGCCAAGTCTACGTTTTCTCTTACTCTAGGGAAAGTATGTACAATATGGCAACACCGCATGGGGGTATCTGGGAATGTCCCTTAACTACGAAGTCTCAACCTCCTAGGGCTTCAAATAAAGGAGATACCCATTGAACCCCATGTAATTCCATATTTCACCGTACCCTAGAGTCGTCGGACAGCTACTTATTGAATGGCTCCTGTATACAAAAATTGTTTCCGATCTCGTGATTCCCACTGTTTCTAGAAAATACCAGATGTTCGAAATGGGTATATAAGCAGCCAGACGCTTGTCGGAGGATCAGCAGTGGATATATGAGCGAAGCAATGCCGTTCCAAACCTGTGTGAACGATCCGAACAGTTCATGTTATATTTGTGGTGAGGTGACACAGCGAAAGACCTTGAGTCCACTTGTAAGATAAGCCTACAAGTTATATTTCGGGTTCAAATCTGCCGATCACGACAAAACTTAGGCTCCCAAAACATGCTGCCGCACTTGCTCAAGAACCTTAGCAGGATGGCTACAGGGTACTCACACTTTTATGAAATTTGGAGTGCCAATGATTTCGGGGGAACCTAAGACTCATGTTGACGATTGTTACTTTTGCTTAATTAATTCTGGGATTTTCTAGTAAAAGCAAGCCTAAAAAAGTGTATCCTAATATTCCCTCAGCCAGTAGACCTGTACCTCATGACTCTTCTAGCATACCTGTTCATTACGCCTCCAAAGAGATATGATGAACCAGATAATTCTGACACAGAGGAGCCGGAAGCCGAAGTTTTGAAGAGGAAGTCGTCTTCGAACGTAGTAGCAGCAAACAGACACATTTTACGTTATATCTCAGGAAGAGCTTAATGATCTAGTTCGTGATTTAGATCTTCCCAAAAGAAAAGCACAACTACTTGGATCTCGTCTGCAGCAAAGGAAGATTTTACAAACAAGTGTGACAATTCCACGTTTTGGAACAGACAGTCTATGCTGGTCGTATTTTTCTCGATGGAAAATGACTTAGCTTACTGTCATGAACACAAGTATAAAGTCAGTTTTGTTGTTCAATAGAAACGAACGGCCATCAGCTCCCGTTGCTCATGCTGTAAATAGAAAGTTTATTTACCTCCTCTGCAGCTAAAACTAGGGCTTATAAAAATTTTCGTAAAAGCCTTAGATTGAGAAGGAAATGCATTCCTTCCGGACAACTACAAAGATCTAGTTGAAGAACTTATCTAATCTTATAAGGCCTTAGGTTGCAATATATCACTTAAGCTGCATTTTCTTCACTCCCATTTAGAATTCTTCCCTGACAATTTGAGTACAGTTTCGAACGAGTACGGCGAAATGTTTCACTCGCAAATTGCTCAGATGGAGAAGCGCTATAGTAAAAAAAAAGACAACTAAATAAATTGTTTGATTGTTTTTTATACAATCAGGAGCATATTTTCTAAAAAAGTGTATTTTTCATTTTTTTTTAATTCTAAAAAATTCAGCACTACATCGCTTATAATTTAAGATTTTCATATGTTATATTCTCCCTTCTCTAAAAACTCGTGAGTGATGGGGAGAAAATGACTGCTTATTAGATTTCAGTACAACACAATAGACGCAAAAAAAAATAGGAGAGCGACAAGAATTTCCAGAATGCCGAACAGTGTTATACATTGTTTTCATAAAATATTTTTATTCTCTAGCCTTACTTTCATATAAGACTATTTGACTCATTTCTTTTTTAAGCAAGATAAAGTTACAAAAACGTATTCACAACGACACAGACCTTTTTACATTTTTTATTTATTATTACAGGTATGTAAAGCCTCTTATTCGTACTATGCAGTTTTCAAGAGGGTTGAAGCAAATGCATAATTTCGTGATCATTCTTCATTTATGCAAAGTATAATGATATGAAAATAATAGTAGTTCTAATGTACTAACGTTGTTATTTGAAATGTATCCTATTGAAGTTGCACACATAAGAATTACATAGTTTTTATCAACTGCAAAATGTGTTTTCAGTATTACAGATCACAACTTTTGTAAAGTGACTGGTCCCCAGCTAGGCACCTTTTCCCAGTAATATATTTTTATGGGTAACAATTTTCAGCTTCTCAAGAAGAAGAGAAAACAGGACTCTCGAATTCTTCCATAACCTAATTATATCTATGACACAATTAAGAGTAATTATCGCCTCGCATATTTTTTCTATCATTCTCCCAACCGGATCAAGAAGATTATAATCATAAATCTAAATTAAAGAATTAAACTTCACACAGAGAGCGCCTCGATAAAAAAATCAAAACCGCGGCATTCCAAAAATAAATTGGAATATATTAAAACTGATGGCAGAGTTATTTTATTTTTCCTTTAAATCCCGCCGACTTTGGACGTTGGTAAATCAAAACTCATTTATTTCTAATACCGAAATAAAACTAAACATATCTCCAACTCTTTCTTTGGGTAAAAATAGCGATGGATATACGGGGTATCTGGACAAAAGAATCTTCTCTATTGCAAATACTGAGCTGCAATATGTGTAAGTGTTCCTACGAGGTCTCTAAATTAATTGATAAGACCGATTTTCTCCCTCAAAATAACTTCCTTCTGAAGCCACACAGCGCTGGAAACAGGTCTTCCACTCCTCATAGCAGTGCTGGACCTCGGATACTGTAATAGCCTTCAGCTGGTTGGTTACAGCCGTTTGAACGTTTCCGACTGTCCCAAATTGAGTTCCCTTGAGGTAATTTTTGTACTTCAAGAAGAGAAAAAGTCACAAGAACTCAAGTCAAGCGAGTAAGGAGGCTGAGGAGCCTCAGGAATGATGTTACTGGTCAAAAACTCGCTTATTGACATTATGGTGTGACGAGGAGCATTATCGTTATGCAACACCCTGTTATCATTGATCTGATGAACAGTCGTGTGAGTCCAAATTAAGTCTTTCCCCAGCATTGTGACTGTCAACCGACGATCTTAACGCACAAAATCCCGTAACCTATTGATCTTTTCGTCGGTTCTTGAAGATGAAGGCCTTCCGTTTCGTGGTTCATCTTCGCTCCCTTCTGAAAATGCCTTAAATCGCCGAAAAGCCTGGGTTCTTGACAAAATACTATCTCCGTAGGCCGGCTAAAGTTTAGCAAGGGTTTCTGTTGGATTGTGCCCAAGTCCGAATCAAAACTTGATAGCATACCGTTGCTCGAACTTGACATCACTCGTTTTTAGAACAGATTAGAAAAAACTGTGACACAAAAAAAATCGCTACGGACAACCAAATTACTCGAGCGGGCTCAAACTTGTACTGAAGACGGATCACATGTTTCCCTATCTTCCATCCAGTGCTGCCAGATCGAACGCTACGTTGCCAGTCTCATCACTTAATTTGCAGACCTCGTATATATATTTACATTTATTTTTCACGGATGATGCAGTTCATCCTCGTCTTTTTCCTCGTGCGTTGAAATAAATTATTTGAAATTCGTGCTAATTCGATGACTATGTCTTACCTGCCAAAAAAAAAACTCGGTTAATAAGGTTTGATATTTATTCAGGATATCACTAGAATGTGACCATACCTTTAAACTTTAAAACTATTAACCTCCAAAAATTAAGAATATTTTCCTCATTTGCTGGGGGCACTCGTTATGCCACAGTTTGTTACGAAATGTTATGTTTGAGCTTTGGAGGTCAACTTTTACCACCTTGTGTTCATAAAATGTAAATACCCAAGATATACTTTTTGTAGACAAAATATCAATATTCCGTAGAAATAAAGATTATGAAAGATTGATCAGCTGAAAAAGTATCTCCATAAGTCTTAAGACGTTCCTATTTCACCCTCGTATAACAATTCGGATATCATAGAATTTAAGACTCGGCTCTGTATATGAATATAAATCTCTCGCCAAAGCAATCTTCATTCAGGATGCGCTGTGGATACAACGGAAGATAATATTCATATAACTACAATAAAATTGAATGGGAATTTTGAAAGCGTAAAGTGATACAGCTTCCTGAAAAAAATGTATTTGTTTTCAAAAAAATATTCATGTGATGTAAACATATTTATGTCTTCCTGACACTGTTAGCTTGTTAAAAAAGGAATGGAAAACTACAGGATGACTATCCTACTCCTGTGAAAAAATTAGGGTCAACAAATGATGAGCTTCAAAGAAAGACATTCCAATCACTAAGTATCACTTCCTCATCCCACAATCACAGACTTGTTTCGGCTCAACGAGAGGTTCAAGATCTTATGCTTCCCTACAGATAGGCTAATGGAATATGCTCCTACATGCATACGTGTCGGGATGACACCCGTTTCAGAGCAGCTGTTGACTATCGAAATTATATGTTATCGTTTTTTGTTGCATTTACTTAAAATTAATTCATTGTTACCACAGTTTGGATCACAGCTCACAAAACAACCTTTCCCTCTTAACAATTAAAAAAATTTTCCATTCATTAATAATTATTCTAATTTGGTTTCGTCCGTTAATATCTGTAATACAGCTTTAAATGTTTCGAACAAGACGCTTTTTTGAGTATCACATTTTTTAATTTCCACCAACAGTGGTCATATTGAATTTCACCTGTCTATTTTGTCAGACATTCATGGTGCGCCATTGTTTTTTGTTGAAATAAAAATTATTCTTGAAATCCCCGTTTATTATTAAGCAAATCTGATCACTTGATTTTCCGAATGCTATGCACGGATTTCGCTTAAAAACATGAAATATTTTGCTCTGCATGGTGATATTGTCATATTAGCGATATTGTTCTGAAATGGTTTTTATCTTTATAACCGAAAACCGTGCACCAGTTTGAAACAATTAGGTGATCATATTTGCTGATAAATGATTGAAGCTTTCAAGAATAATTCTTTTTAAGAGAAATCAGTGGCATATCATCAATGTCTATCAAAATAGGCAGCTGAAATTCCGTATGGATGCAACTGGTGATAATTAAAAAAATGTAGTTCATTAAAAAAATACCTCTTTATGCATAGTACATGTATGCCAATTTTCATTAAGGTATCTAAAACAGAAAATATTAATAATGAATGATTTATTTTCAAAACTTCACAACCATGTATCCCAAGAATTGAGATGTTCATGAAGTTTTCTTCTTGAAATTGACCCAAAAATCGCTTTCATTAAATTGCGAAGCACGCTGTATACAAGATAACTGGTAATTCGGAGTATTCCTTCCAGGACTTGTTAGAGAGCCTAACACACTAAAATCAACAGTACTCGAAATTTTTCATTTTTAAGATTTTTTGTTGCCGTCAGTTGTCACCATCGCAGGGGATAAGGCCATCTCAAATTGGTTCTAAACTCAACTCGACTAAGGATCTGTCACTTTCATCAATATCCGTTTATTGGTGGACAAAGACCTCAGCCCCCCACACAATATTTATAGACGTTCATCAAGCTGTAACAGTTATTTCAAAACTACCGAAATTTCGATAATTCTAGAAGTTTTGGAGACACTCAATATTTTGAAAACTGGGATTTTTTTGGACATGTCGAAAATCGCATAAATTTAAAAAGTTTTGATAATCTACTAATTTGTGATAACCTGTGATGACAACTGTTACAGCCTACTTGTAAATCCAAATGTGAACTCCTACCTTAAACGTTCCTTAAGGAAGCGTTATTGTTTCTTTCAAGTCCGAGAAGAGATCATTCCTCAAACAGCACTTAATCCTCAAGGAACTTTTATATATATCTGACCAAAGAGACAGCTATTTCAGTTGATCGAAGCCTAGATCACTGAGGACTTGATTTGGCACATACACATCAATCGTGACAGCCGCTGGAAAAAAGCTAATCTATTTTTTAGGGCTAAAAATTACTTTTGTTCAAATAACCTTCTCATTCTGTATAAGGCCCATATAAGACCTAGCCTCAAGTACTCCTCACAGGTTTGGGGTGCTGTCGCCCCGACTACATTATACATGCTCGATGCTGCTCAGGGGAGAGATGTTCGACTAATCGATTATCCTTCTCTAGCGAACAGTCTCGGGATACTTTTGCACCGACGAACCGTGGACTCTTCTCTCGCTATGTCAATACGCTTAACTTCTCATAACTCTACTGCATGTTGCTGCCGTGAGATGAATCTGCCAGATAGGCCCGCCTGACTTCCACTTCCCATCCTAAACGTGTCGAACCTGGGGTGTCGGGATTGTGGTAAGATCTGTCTGAGGAGGCTTCTCCCAGTTCTACTAACCTTAAGCAGTTCCAAAGTCAGACCAACAAGTTAAGTTCATCAAGACTGCCGCTTCGCGGTATAAAAAAAGACCCTAGCATCTTGCGATCTTTGGTCTTGGAGTACCTGTTGATTACGTATAATCTGCATATCCATAAACTCACCAGTGGAATACTCCTGGAAGTCAATGAATTAGTGAAATTAGCGCGGTAGTGAACTGGGAGCTGAGACAATTACGGCGATTTACATCAGAGAGGAGACCGAATCTAGGCCGGATTTAGCCGCCGGTCATAAACAGAAGGTAATTGGACCGTTTGTGTGTCTCGGTTGACAGTTACGACTCCGTTTTGACAGGATTGCGGCGAAAGGGGGCCTAATTAATCTGGACTAACACCAAACAAAGGAATTTATGGGGAAGTTGAAGTAAAAAGCCGACGCCAAGGTGAAATTTGTGCGATTCTTGGCTTCTTGAATATAATTTTAAAGTATTTCTATTAAAGAATTCCAACGGATTGAACACGTTGAAACTTTTGCGCTTGGGGGCTCCTTATTTTGAGGATGCTTCATTCGCCGAAACGGTGTTGACAGTTGGGAGTCACAGAAAAGATGTTAAAATAAATACGCCCTAATGATAGTGATGTTTGAGTGATTTTGTTTTGTTGCTTCGTTATGATCTTCGTTATTTCGATTA